CTTTGGCCTTGTACCACAGTACGGACGGGAGACTGCGCTCTTAGAAATGACGACGCGGAGGCGTATTTCGCGACCGGATAGCCTGAATCCAGCGAGGCTGTCAGGCAAAGGCGTGGGATCGAGTAAAGGCATCTCTTGGCGGGATCCCTGCAGCGGGGTCGGTCGGCGGTCTGGTCGGGCTCCAGACTGCAGTGCTAGGCGCTTTGAGCTTCTACATGGAGAAGCCTTCACCGAGACGATAGATGTCTTGACCAAGTGGAGCAGCAAAAGCTTTGGGGGCGAGGAGGAGGCTGGAACTGGAGTTTGATATCGCCCGTTTAGGCAAGCGAGACCTTGGCACCCCTAGTGCGACGGAGAATTTCTTGGCCTCCGCTCACCCCCGCGGGAGTTTTCCACATGGTTGCGAAGCCTGTGTCAAGAACGCACTCGGCGGCGAACGTGCGTGTGTGCACAGCTTACGCGGTCCTCGCGGTTGTGCTTTAGCATGTCTCATCGGCGAGATACAATATTTGAAGGCACCGGACGAGACTCTCGGCGCGTATGCCTATGCAGGTCGGAGCACCCATAGCCGGCGGCATATAGTTGTGATGAGTGCTGTGGTTGGCGGAAGTAGTCCACGAAGCGAGGAAGAGGCTGAAAAAGACAGCGGGAAGCTGAGTTTAATGTTCATCCTAATCTTAGAAAGCTCCTGAATGCCCATCAAATGCATACTTGGCGAGGAGGGAGCTGCTCGTCCTCCCATTTTTCATTCCTACAGTTTTTTCCTTTCCACACTCCATTCTAGGAACATGAGATCGAAGGTGCTGACCGGACAAGAGATCTCTCACGATTTCCAAGGTTCTGGGCTTCGCGAACCTGGGCTCCATGGACGGTCTCACGCCCAGAAATGCTTTGCGGAGGATCCCCACCCAACGACGGCCATTCTCCAGGTCTCCCGAGAGCGACGAGCTTCCCCACGATTGGGTAATGCTTAGTTGCAACGGTGGAGATGCTCAGAGTTGCTTGGATGCAACAGTGGAGATTCTCAGACCTGGTGGGTACTGCCCAAGATATTAGGGTCTTGGAACTGTGTCAAACGTATGTACATGCATCACCAATCCTCGACCCTCCCTTAGACGCACACACCAGTGGCCGAACTAATTGTAAGTCACCTTTCCTTTTGTCTACAGTGTTTTGAACTCGGCAGTCTCTACTCCTGCGCGACAAACACCATCTCCTTGCTTCTGAGCCCCGGAGAGCCTGGACACTGTTTCTTCTTCCCCTGAGTATCGCTACTTGCTAGATCTAGTTTTGATCGTCCTGATCGACTCCTGTCGCTCGAGCTCCTCGGTGTCTCTCCGCACTATTACCTACAATGTTCAAGTCAGTTGCCATTGTGAGGAGTATTCTACTCCCCCGAGGAAATGAACGACTCAAGAGTTTTGGAATTTTCAATTCCTTCTTTCCATATCACCTCAGCCGATACGATGCATAATCTTCCAAGCAGCTGGTATGCTAGAACTTCCGTGGTCGTACAATGTTAGCGAATATCCAGCCAACTGAACGAACTTCCCCAAAGACGGCCACGGCCAATTTCGCCGGAAGACATATCAAGAGAATCCAAAGAGTCTCCTGGGCATTGCCATGGGGTTGTAGTCGTCCTCCAGTCAACATGGGAGACCGCAACCGAAGCTTTGTACACTATACCCCAATCCTCTCAATCTTTTGACCTAGAAAGGGAGCTTGAAGGCCTAGGATACTAACGGGAGAGTTATGGAGAAACCCTTGGACCTACCGAACCGTGGAGCGCAATACCAAAGTCTGGAACTGGCGCCCCGCGGTGCTGCAACCGAACAGAATTGAGCCAGTTCGAGCAGGCGTTCCTACCAAGTTTCCAGGCCTGGAACTCACGATTTCCCGGGCTGTCAGGTGAAAGATATACAATAAGGTTCCGTGCCCATGCCATTACCGAATGGTGCTTAAAACGAAACACGCTATCGGGACTGCACAGGCATAGTTTCTCCTATTTAAAGTTCTATGAGGCTATCGACTGAGAAATGAGAGGAAGAGAGCAAATGTCCAGCAAAACAACAACGCGAAAATCTCGGAAGCTACAGAGCAAACACAATCCCGCCGACGTAGTGATTTAACACTGTTCAGCCATCAAAGCTCCGTCGAGCGTTCTGTTCTTGACTCATTGGGTGATAGTCACTTGCCATGCTAAATGGCCCTTGAAGTTCTGGTCATTGCTGTTCGTCTGAGTAAAATACCACTCTCGTCCATCCGCCCAATTATCCGGCGCGGTATTCCAATCGACGCTCTCACGAGTAAAGAAGCGATCCCCAGCAATAAGGATTCCCTCCTCATACAGTTCGCCAGAGAAGTTGGCTGGCAAGTTACGGGTGAGCACAGCTATCTCGCCTACAATGCGACCGAGCCCGTTGTTCTCCCCAGAGAAGTCTGTCTTCTCTAGAAGATCGACACTCATATCGCGGGTTTGTGCCGGAGCTACAACCCCGGAAGCAGACATATGTTCCCGGATTTCAACCTGGGTTCTTCCTCCAATCTCGGTGCCGGTTTCCTGAACGTAGAGACGGATGCGAGTCACGATTCGAATTCCGAGAGGGCCGGCTGCAGCTGCGGTTGCACTCAGTACGTGTTCCTGGTCAGAGATGTCGACGACTCTGGATTCAGGCTTGGTTGGGATAGTTGCGTAATATTTCGGCTTATTTGCTTCCATGTTGCCTGGATGATAAAATTCTCGCCTGTCTTTTTCATGTGAGTCCCTGAGATGGAGGGGGAACCGATCTTGATCCGACCTTTACTCACTGTCCAATAGTGGTTATGAGATTAAGGTATGGTAGTGGGGATCTGTGAAATGTGCTAACAAAATAGTCGCAGAGTTCAACCCTGGATTTATATGTCGCCATATACTATGGATACTTCCTCCGAGCTGACACCTAGCCTTGCCTGCCCGCGATATTATCGTTCGATTCCTGATCAAGATACTGCCACAGCCTCTGACGGTCCTGTATGGTGTCGCCCGGACCGGAGAAGATCTTCCAGAGTAGATTCCTGCATACCGCATGTGTAATTTAGTGGAAAGGATTAGAGTGTCCAGACCTCTTTGAACCGGCCGCCCTGTAATTCGCATGGATGCCCTACCACTGCACTACCAGATGTCACATGCTGTATGAATGTGTGACCTCCCTCGCTGGACGAGGAGTCATGAGAAAGGGCTCAAGCTGCAAGATCTCGCCCTTGGCGGGGTTTGTTCACTCGTCAATTCTTAGCTGCCAGCAGTGGTCTAGTCATTGGGTACGCGTGACCCTCAAGTTCCGTCGCCATCGCTACACATATCTGCAGTGATAAAATGCTCAAAAATGCGCAGTTCTGAGGGCTCGCTCTTCTTGGCTCAGCTCGCCGGCCGAAAACCAACCATCGATGTCATGGCCTGTAAGGGCTGAAACACCACACAATGGAAACTTCGAACTCACCGCCTTTTGCAGCTGGTGCCTTCAGTCTTTGAGGATTGCTTATTGCTATGTATCGTCTGCATGGTTTCCAGTTCAGGAATGAGGTACGTAAGGAGCTGTAGTGGTCGTATAGTCTGAATCTCAAGTGCGATATCGGGCAAGCATTCCAGAGCGCAAGATCTACTGTGAGATGGCGTCCATTCCGAACGAAACATGGGAGCCGGCTTCCTCTCTTACTATGAATCAACGTCTGCTTTCCTCCTTCGACTCGGGACGTATCAATAATCATGCTGCGGTCTTCAGCGGGCGACAAATGCCACTTCTTCGCACTCAGAGCTGCTCGCAGATGGAGGATATCCACTATACCGAGCTCCACTTCTAAAATATGGTCTGACGTGGCCTCGTCTGGACGAGGTCGAGCTATGGATTCAGCGGTGGTTTGGGGTGCGGTTGATGAGCTGCTAAAGGGTTGCCAGTGTGACAACAGGTCCTTTTCTCGGAAAGTCTGGGAAAGGTCGAATCGTCTGACGGACTTCGTACCTACAGCGAATGGTGTTGTTTGCATGACGGAGAAAAAAGGTGTGGAAGGAACCTTGCTCAGGTTCTGCGAGGCTTCGGAATACGGTTCTGCTCTAATTAGTAGGATATTTCCGCTCCGCTCTTCTCCTGCCACTCCATGAACTCATCACGTGTTCGTCAACAACGTGTAACCTACATTCATGGCGCGAGATTATAGATCGGTACCCTGCTCATATGTTGTAGGATTCACAAAAAATCGCGCAAACTTTGTCGCGCCCCTGACTGCTTTGTTTGCGAGGAACCGACGGGCGGAGAATGTACGGCTCTCTTGACGACATATATACTCGCCTGCTGTACGGCCGCTCTTCGAACTTTCAGGTATGATTGCGGCTCTCGTTGTATTTTTCTCGTCTCATAAATGCCGCGCCATTCCGCTTCCCGGTCCCTAAGTCTCGAGATTCCCGCCTCGTACAACTCGGGAGCATACATATTTGAAGAGATCCATTCAAGTCTGGGCCACCTTGAAGAGATATATAATTGTCTGGGGTGCTTTTTCGTATGGTTTATTTCTGTGGGTTGTTGTAAAGTGAGTTCTGGAGTAGTTCGGCAAAAATTCAGCCTAGGACTGTGAAGGCCACACAACACGCCACATCACGTTTGACCACTCAACAGCCTCAAATTTAGCCCTCCTTTTGCATATTTATCCTTATCACGTCACGGCCAGTTTGAAAGTCTGCGGCTTGTGTATATCGTGCCCTTCCATAATTTGTGAGGCTGGCACTGCCGTGCCCATCATCATTGGCTGCAACCCCACATCGGGACCCATTCTGACGCTCGCTACACCGAGAGATCCCATTGCGAAATTGTTCACCGACTGTTCTTCAATACTCTCTCAATCTCAGTCACTCTAAATGAACATGAACTAGGAATATATAAATAACAATTTTTGGAATTGCCATTAAACAAATTCAGCACAACGGTTCGCTGGTGTAGTGTCAGTATCCTATCTCACCAGCATACGGTTTTGAATCTAACATATAATAGTGGTTATCACGTCAGTCTAACACACTGAAGGTCGCCAGTTCGAGTCTGGCGCGAATCATCAATTCTTTTTTGCTCTTGCGCTGTGGGGCGGGGACTGCCCTGCGGCTTCTTTTGCTCTTACGCTAGAGTTAGGCTGGAGTTGCTTTGTTCCCATTGGTGGCTGTGTGTGGCACGCTCACCTGCTTCGCCCCATCCCCACTCCACTATGACCACACGCAATGAGTTTTCCTATACTCCTGTGAAGCGATTTCCTTCAGATCGTTATTGTTTTTGCGGATTTGCTGAATGACTAGTGCTTCAGGATGACAATCACAGGAATTTGCATAACTGTAAGCATTCAAGAGAACCGCAAGAATCCTTGAAAGAGTTCTTGAATAAAATTTGGACATCGGGAAAGGTAAACTACGTAATCATACACTCTCGTCTCACTTCGCCCCAAGCGCGCACAGCAAAACCATCTCGCTCAACCATCAATCCATCGTCACCCGACTTCTAGCTGCTTAGTTCTGCACGTTCCTCCTAGCCTTGCGCTTGCAGGACTTTCCAGTGGCAGGGGCAGGAGTAGGAGTCGGGGTAGGAGTCGCCTTCACCTTGCACGCCTTTCCAGTCGAAGAGGCAGCGGTAGCCGGGGCGGCGGTAGCAGGTGTCGCATTTCCTGCGTTGGCAGCGGCACCAGAGCTGGCAGCATCACACTGGGCTACAAACACATCAGTACGAAGTCCCACTACAAAATCCGGGATATAGGAAACTCACTCTTCTGATCCGAGCAAGCGCCCACGCTCAAAGTCTTGTCGCCTCCATTGGCAGCATTCGCGCAAGCGTTGAACTGCTGGTCACAGCTCCTCTGCAACGCAGCGGCAATGTTCACAAAGGTGTCACCCTTGACTTGGAACGGGCGGTCTGGGTTGCCGGAGTCTTCGACTGGAGTCGCGGTAATGCCTCCGAGAGCGCCGGTGAAGCTTTGCAGGTTGGCGCGGGTGTTGATGTTCGGGCGGCGATGGGATGGCGCCGCGACGGCGAGGGAGAGGATAGTCGCGAGGATGATGGTAGTCTTCATTGTAATGGTGTGTTTAAAATGGGTATCGATAGATATAATGCGCGGTAAAATGTGATTGAAACAATGTCAAAAGCTGTCAAAGAATGGATGCCGGATCGTAAGAACGAGTGACCAGACTCAGGAAAGAATGTAAAGGCGCCGAGGCGAAGTCGAGAAACGAAGAAATGAGTGAAAGACTGTGGAACCCGTGTGAGTGGATGAGGAAAGAAGACGTCGAGAGGGAAGCATTGCGCTGATATTTATGCCACTCGCGCTCAGGCGCACCGACGCGAAACTTGACCGTGATGCCGAGGAACCTGTTCACAAACACGAACGACCCCATTTCAGCCAAGTAAACCACCCGTGAAGTTGGTCGTGAGACCATTGACAACTGCCACAGCCGCCCTTGACAAGTCCTGAACTCCTGGTAATATCCTTGAAATGTCGTGCTGCAGCGCTGAAAATGGTTGGCCTGGCGGGTCAAGCTTTGTTGCGCGAGAAGCTTGGCTCAGAAAGTGGTAAACGAACAAATGGGAATTGGGGAATCAGGAGGATGGAGGAGGTTCGGTCCCTGATTTTGTCAGAAGTGGGTTTGGGGCTTGCGCGATGCAGAGATCTGAGGATGCATTGACGTTTCGGGTGAGTCTCCCAGAATTTTGGCGAGACGAACTGGGTGCTCGAAGACTCTGTGCGATAATAGATTTCTGGCTTCTGTAGAGGTCAAAATTTTTAAAATGGCCGAATCAAGCTCTTTCAAAGACGCCTCGAGAATGGTAAATCCGTTGGGAGTTGTGATGATCGTAACAGAAGTGAAGTTCTGGTGGTTCACGATAGTGTCAACTCGACCCCTGTCGCCGATCACACGGGACCTGTAGCATTCGTGATCGAGACCCAACAGCCTCGAGCCTTGAAGAATTTCCACCAATCTGCTCCCCGTTGTACTGCCCTAGGCGCTGATCGGGACATCTTAAAAGCTGAATTTGCTCAAACGCATGAGCAAACATCCTGAGGAACCTCTTCGAAAATTCGACGAACAAATGACGCGCGAAACCTGCGCATCCAGGTAGCGAAATTGGACGAGTGTTTGAGCGAAATTGAGATGATATTCAGAAGGAGGTCTCCAAAACATTGAGAAATTATCGGGAGGTTGTATTTCGACGATCACCCATGGGACTCGGACTGCTCCCACTTTGACAGACCAAGCTATCTTATTCCGGTCTTCAGGTGTAGTGAAAAGACTGAGAAAACCTCCTATTCTATTTATTCAGCTTATTCTTCCGTAACACTTTGTGGGAACTGAAGAACTTCTTGATGGTCCGTTTAGGCCACGTGGTCGGGTCGTCACACTCACTCCGCCAGAGACAACGAATTTGATTGTCTGAGCAATGGCTCAAGTTGTAGCGACGGCGTTGTCCACAGAATGGCGCTGGTCTCTTCGGGGCTCGTGCCTTCAATCCAGTAGTGTACTGGTGCTCCAAAGATCCATTGGTAATCCGGGCTTCTGAGTTTGGGGGAACGACAATATGCATCGCGTATGTATGCTCTGGCGGAGTCGATGTCGCCTAGCTCGAGACATGTATTTGCCGCTGTGAGTGACAAAGCAACCTTGGCCTTCTCAATCTCACCCCGAAATTCCTCAGGGGAACCAAACCCAATTGGAGTAGTTTCCGATATCCAGGTCTCGTTATTCAAGTATGTGATTCCAGCTTCTACGGCGCGTCGGGCTTCGCGGTGGAAAAATGAGGCGTGGCAAGACTTCGCTGCAATCAGGAAGTATTGACATTGGAGACAATATATGTCTGAAACGAGACCGAATAACGCATTAGGGTCGATTGCGCGCTTGTGGCAATGCCGTACTCTGTATTGATGGCAAGACCGGAAGATGTCGAGGCTTTTGAGCCAGTCTTCAGAATGCTTGAGAAACCAATATGGTGGCGCAACCATCCACGAACATGATCCATTCGTCCGAGGCTGCGTAAACTTAAACATCATTTCGAAGATCTCCCTGCAAAAGAAGTATCTATAATTCCAATAGAGTGAGTGGAAGGCATTTGGGTCTTCATAGGGATGGACACAGCCACGGTGCAAGGAGATCTTGCACTCCTCAGCAATTGGCCCAACGATTTCCAGAGCCTTGAACTTGATTGGTGGCTCTGCATTCAGAATTGGCGCAAACAATAGTTCGGACGCCCGAGGAACGGTATATCGGAACGTGTCTAAAACCCGAAAGCGAATGATGAGGGGTTCTCGAACGAGAGCCGGTTCCATATCTAGCTTATGGTTGCACTGGTGGATAAATTGGGATATTTCATGGGGTAGTAGGACAAATGCCGCCGTGAAGCCGCCGTACAGTCTTTCCATCCCATAGATGTCCACTTTCATTGCGAATCGACGACATCGAGCAATCGTGGCAAGATTGGTAATCGCAGGGCAAGACTCGGATGGTAACCTTGGGGTTTCTTCGCTCGGAGATTGAACCAAGACTACCGTAAATAAGTTCCTGGAGTAGAAGATGTATGAACTTTCAGCATATATTTGTTTGTTGGTGTAAAGGATGCTTGTGGTGAGATGTTCCTTCACGAGACTACCGTCATCGGGCAGTACAGGATGGACAAGCAGCTCCTGATAGATCTGATTGCGGATGGAGGACGGCAGAGATAGGAAAGTCATTGTCGAATTGAGCTCGATTCGGAGTTGTCAGAGGCCCAGAACGATGGACTCAAGAAAGTACTCCTTTCGATAATCCAACAACCAGATCGTAATGGAGATGTATCCGAAAGCCTCGGTGAAGTGTTAGGAATCGGAGACGGCAGTTCTTGCTACTGCGGACTGCGCACGCCAGCAACGTCAGGAGTCTGTCGTGAGGAACTGTGGAAGATGGGTCTTGCCAATTAAGAGGAGAAAATGTGAACCGTAACTCTCTGGGCATCAATTCGATTCGATTTTATGAAGGGTAGGGTGATTAGGGAAATTTGGGGTGGGAGTTGAGCGACCTCGCCGCAGCAGGATTACCTTGGCTGCCTGCTGTCTCGGATGTTGAAGAAGCCACCAACTGATCCGTGCACAATCCTCTTCCCGACCATGAATGCCCCGGTCTACCGAAGGAGCGAGTATCCCTTAACTTTGGTTTTTGGTACTGGCCCTACAGCTTCTTCATATTTGTATGGCTATACAAATATGATGACTATAACTCATTTAGACGTTTCCTTGAATAGTATAGGAAGAATTAGGGTCACACCGTCCGCCCCAAATCACCTACCATTTCGCTAAAAAAGCCTGGCTCCTCAAAAGTATTTGCTCCTTTGCAACCGAATTCATCTCCTCTCGAAACTAAAATATCCATTCCACAACCTTACGGAGGTGGAATCAGTGTCCCCGCACCACGATGAACACAAATGTTGGCACAGGTACGTGTCCTCTGATACGAGGTGCCATGGTCTTCCACAACTTTCACGGAAAGATAGTTATCTGTCCGCGTTTGCCGGCATTTCCCATAATCTCTGAGGAGCATACGGCTGTGGCGTTTGTTAGTAGTCAAATCGTAGCGTCACAAGGAGGAGGAAGTTTACCATTTCTTGAACGCCTTGTGGGTATGCAGGCGATTCCATCGGTGCAGTTTGATAAGGTGCTACTTGATACGGGACTCCTTGATACGGGACTCCTTGAGAGGGTGCTCCTTGGTAGTTGAACTTGCTCATATCTACAAGCTGCGAGACCGGCGGAGGCTGAGGGTCTGGGGTTTCAACTGGGAGGTTGTGTCGACGACGAAGTATCCACAGGACAGCTAGCGCAAGGAATGCTATGCTGAAGAATCCTCCAAAGGCGATGCCAACAATGGCCCCCGTCGACAAAGAAGCGGAGCCCTTCGATTCTGTTGCCAGATTGGCACCGCCTGTACTAGTCGTCGAAGGCGGCGTATGCTCACTGCTCTGTGTGATTGCCGACGTGGTGTCTGTGGGAGAGCCACCCATGCGGACCTGGATAGGGTATGCAACAGCCCAGTTCTGGAAATTCTGGTCGGT